TCCCTACTATCTAGACATATTTCCATAAAAATCTCAGAAATTTAAGTTATACATATCACGAAATCAGATTTATCAAATTGCTCATTTAAATATTCTTAAGTTAACATTTTTCGCTACATACGTCAATATTTTACTAAGTAATGAGAAGAAATTATCAACTATTCGCCCAAGATCTCATTAAATAATTTAACGCTTAATTAATCTAAGTACGTAAAACCTCGTGTGTCAAGATAACAAAAACCTTCGAAATTATAACGATGGTCGGAGCGCACGGTGGAATTTGATTAAAGAACTTTGTAATATCTCGCAAAATTATTCAGCTCATTTAATAATTAACGCGAAACAAAGGAAAATCGGGTTACTTTCCGTAGCGCGTGCAAGTGCTAAGACAGCCAACGACGACAGTGAGAGATCCGTGAGACAGCGAAATTAAAAGCTGCACAAAATATCCTCCTTTCCTCTCCTCGCCGTGACATGCGCTTTGAATCTGGCGTGTAAAGGCATCAGTTGCTGCAGGCTCCCAGACGGTGTTTGGATGGGTCTCAGGTAGCTCTGACGGACCCGGAAGTTTAATTACGCGAAGACGTGACAGCCTTCTGGCGAGAAACCAGGGAGAGATACAACCGTCTGACGTGCCTCGGTTCATCCTTGACCATTTCGTTCCGTATACGTTTGACTTTACGTAACGCGCAATAAGCGCTGCGAAGAGGAGAGAAAGGAGAGAGGGTGAGGATCTTCGACTCGGGTGACCGAGCAACAATATTTGCTTTTCGGCAAAATTGAAATCCTACAGCTTCTCCTCGCCTGCAGTCGGTGCACAGATACACGCGTAGGTAGAATATAAAACGTTCTTTTCTCGAGCAAGGCGAATTCTCGTCGTATCCGCCAAAATAGAGTTTCGTTTTCCAAATCGACTTTTTGATACGACGCGTACAAACTAAAACTGAATACGCGTATAACGAAAATATTGTTGGTGATTTAATCAGAGTTTCGCGTTGCAGTTCCAACGATTATTTGACTCCCACGCGGAATTCTACAAAAAATTATATGTCGAAGTCGCATGATTTTTTTAAATAAATCTGCTGATCCGGCGAACGGAAGAATAAAGCAATGAATCGGTCGTTTACGAAACTGCCGTTACAACTGCCTAAAACATTTTATTTATAGCGCGGCGGCGTACATTCGACATTAATATCGGAAATAGATTTGCATATCGTAAATTTTGTTAGGGGAGCTGCGTAACAAAATAATAAATTTCACCCCGCAATTACAATTGCATATTATTTTATTGAATATATTTACGCACGTGGCGACGTGTAGAAATATTTCGGGCGTTGCATCAATATCGATTTATAAGACGGTTTCGAGTTTCGAGCGAATCTTTTCATTCTTTGGAATACGCGGTCCATTCGCATTCACTCATGCCATTGAAAATTCCTGTCGTATACTTTTCAACACGCTATCATGCGACGTTCATCGCGACAGAAAGGAAAGCGCCGTCGTTCGGCTTGGTCACCCTCTCGTCCATCTTACCGCCACGGCAATAGGGATAAAACGGTATCGAGCGAATAAAAATCCTCGAGGAGCATAGTGGCCGACAAATAACGTGCGTATTCGATACACGTAGAGCTGTTACGATAATAAAAAAAAAAAAAAAGAAATAACTTAGCACGCGGGCGCGAAGTACACATGTGTGTCGGCATCCACGTTTTTCTCACGCCACTGATTTCTCTTCTCGCTCCAACATAGGCAACTTGTCCCTATGTGAATCTAATACGTCGCGATCCATAGAGGACGGGGATTTCACGGGGATAGATAAAAATAAGCGCCCGGACGCGGGTCGCGATTTAATATCGCGCCGCTTTATCCCGGGCGCTCGTGCACGCCTCCCAGGAGAGTTTTATCGTAACGACGATGCATCATGGCTATGCATGCGGCGGGATGGAAAGTACGGGGGTCGTTAATTTAACCGACCGATTGTATTCGTACGTAAATCCGCTTTACACGAAGATAATAGATCGACGCGGCATAGTTGGTCAAGGATTTTGCGCGAGCCCGCGCGTAAATAATGCGAGCGTACATGGAAAATGATTTAATCAGGTTCGTCGGTGATCTCGGCGTATCGATGATGTTAATGGTCGGCGCGTATACAGGGGGATGAATTGAGATTATAATATCCGACATTGGAACGCCATTCCTCTATACTCAGCCGACGGCTATTGTCTTTCATAATAATACGCAAGTCGGATCTCACGATGTTAGCTGTCGGTCGCATATGCATACCGTTTAGGTGTCACACGTCAACGTTTTAAAAGATCCCAGGGGAAAGGTTAAGGGTCATTAGGCACGAGGAAGGCGTGACCTTCGTATCTCGGGAACGTTGAGCGAATACGGATCACGTAGCTGCACTCGATGCAGCGGGACGTACATGCATCCGTTCTATGTTAGCGAACCGTCACGATGCGCCAGGATAATGTCCGGATTCGTATTCCCACGTTGGTTCCCGGATCATGCAGATCCATCTGCCATTATCGGCAAATCCGCCTATCCAAAACGTGATAGCCGACTTTCGCGCACAATGTAAATCAAACCGCACGACTCGGGGCACGCCAAATGCATCTATAAATGCTTTCGCTTTCTTGTTACGGAAACATAGATATAGAGCCGTAAAAGTCAATCGAGTGAACTTAAGCTATAGAAAAGGAATGGCTGTCGCTGACCATAGAATCGGTGCTTGCTTCTCTAGCGCTTTTAATGGTACGAAAGAACGTTATGATAAAAGAAGAATTTTGCACAAGTTCAAAGATCGTAGCGAGAAGCAATTTACTAGTTCTACGTGACTGAAATACGGCATGCAACCCTTTTTAGAAAATCCCCGAGACCGAGGTCGCGTAAGAAAGTTTCACGACGTAAGAAAATCGTCTTGATAGTTCAAAAAGTTGTTACTATGTAAATAACGTTTTTCGGTTAAATGACAAAGCGCAGATAAGATAAAAATAGCCTAACGATGTAATGGTGCAAAATTCAAAATTTTTATTTTTACTCGCACAATCCTTATGTCGACATTCTATGATAGTGGCGGCATAAGGGTTATTTCAATTGTGGTGCGCTTAAACCGCCGGCAATTACCGTTAAAATTACACGATACTTACCGGGGCACCGAAATTCTGCATTGCGGCGGGCTCCATTATTTCCAGGCGTTGCCGACTATAGAGTGTAAGTGTTAGTACGCGCTCATTGTGAGCCGAACATAATGCCAGCGACTCTTCAAAACCACCTGCGCGCGGCTTGGTAGATTTGCTCAGGTGTGTGCCGGCTATGCGCGCGTGCATGTATTATTCGTCCACAAAATGAAAAGGATCGCGTACGATTATTTATTTCGGCCGTTTCGCTGGTACAGGGGAGAGTGTCTGTGTGCGTAAATTTATTACTAAAACAAAAAATTTATTCAAATGATACATGTCGAACGCAATTCGTTTAAATTGAAATATTTACACGGCGTAGAAATGAATGCAATTTTATATGATTCTCTCAATTTAAGCAAATACACCGCGTTAACGATACTAAATAAACGATCTGTTCGGTAAACGTACAACCGTAATTGCGATACATTATTGCGATTGCAATAACAAATACACATTAACGCACTTAATGAAAATTATGGCCGCGCTATCATGTTAGTTCCGGCTAAAGTTTGTCGACCTATTCTTGCCGTGGGAGGAAGGGCGATCTGTAAATTTGCCGTAGCTTGGTCGACGAGACCGCAATTTTGGCCGGACGACCATAATTAAACGGGGGAAAACTGGATAATTGATTAGGTATAGGTATAGTCTGGAATCGCCAATATTGTCGGATACCAGCACATAAATCAAACACACGTGGGTATATGTATATAAACATACACTTTATTATGATAATTTATAATTGCTGTATTATTCACAATGAGTATGAGTAATAACGTATCATAATTAGATATACAAACTGGTCTATCAAGTAGTAACCTAGACTAATCAAATTGCGGCTAATTATACACGGCCCCACGTTCAATTTCTGATACCCGAACTTCCACACTTCAATACCGCGAGTTTTCCAATTTTGTATCTTTCTTTTTTTAAACGTTCTTGCTTTCGTCTGTCGTATTAAACGGATCGATAATGCTAATCATTTTACAAAACATTCCACCCGTTAGTTTCGTTCGTATAATGATAACGCCAATTGGCTGTTGGATTTGTCGATCGGCCAAACGTCCTGATAAGAGAACGATTGCTACGATAAAAACAAAATATATCGTAATATATATTGAATAATTGAATTATATTCGCTAAAATTTACATGAAAAGTACGGGCCTCAATTCCTGCAGTTATATGAATTGCAAATTATTTTTAACTGTCGCGGACTTTTTCGTTTAATTACCATTACATAATATCACAAAATTGTCTTCACTAATATAGCAGAATAGACGTATCTGTCACGGGTAATGTAATTTTTATATATGCAACTACGCTATCTCATTGAATTCATAATGAAATCCAGTGGTGCTAAATGCTTATTTTCCGTTAAAATTGGAGAAATGCCTAAGGCTTAAACGTACGAAAAATAGAATACTCAGTTCACTTCCATACCTTGTATTAAATGTATTAGCCTCCAAATATTTTATTTCTTACCTTAGCTAATGAGCAACTCTCCTATGACCTCTTATTTTAATAGCTTCTCATCCGTACGGTGCCTATGAGGAAAAAGCTTGATTCCTCATTTCTTAGTTGTAATGATAGTATTATGCTTGCGCAAAATTGATGCAACTCTGATTGACGCTGGCCGATTAACGTATAATTTATATATTATGCTGTTGTGTTTATTAACTAAATTCTTTCCAATTTAATTGATTGTTAATATAGGGTAATATATATGTATAACTGAATTTATATTCTCATTTACATAAAATTAAAAAATATTAAGTATAGTTTATATGTTGTAATTGATATTATTAAATATAAATTAATTAATCGAAGAAATTTATAGGTATTCTATTTAATGTTTATTACGTTAAAACAAAATATTGAAATAAAGATATTCGAGCTGCGAATAGCAAACAAGAGTCGTAGACAGAAAGATATAGCAACTGAAAATGTAACTTCATACATATGCATTACCATTTCCATATACCATTATAGTTTAGATCTTATTCTCGTTTCGTTGCATTTTTCCCACTATCCGCAGTGTTCTGCAAAGTACCACAGGCCGTTGTAACCGGATGGCCAAAATTTATTTACTCGTTCGTTATAACGATATTACATGACAGTAATTTATAGTAGAGAAGTTTAATAAGCATCGACAAAACTTTCGATGTAACATTTCTTTTCTGTATACAGGTATATACATTGGTCTTCTATTAAGTTTTGACAATGTTTTACAAGTATTCGTAAAGGGACATACAAATAATTAGAATCCAACACATTATGTATATATATAAACAAGTTATATTTTATTTATTTCGCTAAACAGTTATATGATGAATTATTAATCGCAAAAGAATCGATTCTATTCTAAATGTTCCCAGCAATATTTTATTTAACTTAAATAACTCGTTAGCAATTTAATATTACAGTGAACAAAATAACATAATTTTGATATTTCAATATCTAATCCGTGTGAAATACTACTTAATTAATCTCTTTTATGTAATAAATTCATAAACGTTGAAAAGAAAAACTTTCATAAAAGTTTTCTTTACGATATACTTGCAATAGAACATTGCCATACCAAGCTCATCGAAGAATGTATTTCTTTAAAATTATTTGTTTCTTTAATTTTCATACAAAAGCCATACCAAACGCCACAAATTAGTGGCACATTCATTACCCTAGTATTGGCACCGTGTATTTACGTGCGTAAAATTGCGTATCTACGAGAGAGGAACACAAAGTATGATCCGAGAAAGAATCCGAAAAGTATATACGTATTCTCATCTTATGCACTGTGCTATTGTCATTATCATCAAAAAGATAAAATTCGACACCATGATTTTATTTTTCGTGTTCGAGCTTCCAGCCTCGACGTACAAATGACAAAAAGAAAGATATAAAATGTACCTATATAATATTTCAATGAATGAGTCTGTATATGTGTATGTGTGTGCGCATGTATTCGTTGGTAATGAAAATTATGAATGTTCATAAGTATAGACTCTTTAACAAGAAGATCGATTTATTTTTAATATTATGATATCCATTCGTATCAAGTATTTTTGAGACGACTATAGTTTTGCTAAACTGCCCACCAAAACTCTCTCGAGATATTTTTCACGAATGTAATCCTCAATTTTTATTACGATATATTGTTTGTTGAAACACTTTGTATTTCTGGTATTACATGTACAATGGAGACTTTATCGTTTCATCAAAACGGACATCGTAAAAACGTTGAAAGCACACACGAGATACAGCAAATATTTATAGAAACACGTCATACTACATGTGACTATGTTACCAATTACAATTATCACGTTTCAAAAGTATAAGTAGTTATACACGCTTGAACGCACACGGTTTTATGTCATATCTGATTATGTGTTTAATCAATACGCGAGAAACTTTGTATAATCGTTTGTCGCGCACAGTTAATCGCTCGAATCTCCCTTGGTCCTCTCTCGTTAAGTATTCTTATGATGAATTTAAAAGTGACAAAATAATTTTCAAGGAATTTAATTCTTATAGCATTCGATTCTCACCATTTAGCGCAACATTGTCATTTGTCCTGGCGTGAATGATTTCAGAATGTTTTCATCCACATTCGAAGCCAAAATTATCTACGGTACAGGCATCTGTTTTTTTTTTCTTTGCTTTTTTTTTTCATTAGCGACTTTATTTTCGAAGAGATCGCGACTCGCATCGTCGCTGTCCGATCGACAGAATAAACAGGATGCCACGAAGAACGCGAGGACACACATATAAACGATAACGATATATGCGTACCTTCTTTCATCTCGTTATCGTGATTAATCCGGTGACAGGTCGGGCTTGCGGTCCCAAATAGCACACAAACACGGCATACGAAAAATATTCAGGCATTCCACTATAATAGGACTCTCTTCGTCGCTGACGATCGTCGGACGAGGCTGCTACGCGATCGGAGTATCGCGCTTCTCTCTTCATCTCCCACGGCCCGTTTTCAGCTGGCGAACGAGTAGGAGGTAGACCCGATCCCCGATCGGGGCGGACTAAAGCGTCTCCAGAAAATTCTGCACGAGCAGGGTGGGCGCGGTCACACGCGCCTTCCCTTTTCTTGGCTGTCTGCAAGCGCGCACGTTACAACGCGGCGCCCGCTGCAGCTGTTCCGACTTGTTGCTGTCTTGTTCGAGTTGCACCGACACGCTGGCCACGCGCGGCCTCGAACATCCGTTCTCCTACAACAGACAATTGCCGATGCTCCAGCGAAATTTGCTATCTCTCCGTGATTTACGCGACGTATGCACACGGACGGTGGGCAACTCCTGCGCGTGCTAAATGCTAACTCGCTCTACGATTGTGACGAATGCGAAGTGCTCTTCGACGAGCATTATCACATGCGACATACGAAATTAACGCGGTATTAAATGATTATTACATGTGAAGATTATTATGTAGCTACAAAAGAGTTAAATAGTATACGGTAATGATATAGTGCATTAGTTAATTAATACCATCGCTTTTAAATATCGCTGAGAATAATGCTGAATATCAGTGTAAACACGAAAGTCTCTAGTTGAGCTAAATGCAACTTCAGAATTATGTAGCTTTGGCTTTTACTTACTATAATATGCACGTCATGCTTTCAGTTATGACAGAGTGACAGACATTACTTTTGCGCGTAATGTCTCATACAAATAATTTAAATTCTATTATGCCACTATGATTTATAGTTGGTTTTGATGTATGATTTATGTATGATCAAATTTTAAAAGTATGTGTCTATTTGCATACCTCTTGACACATATAAGTTCGTTGAACAAAGAAGAAAAAGGGCTGTATTTTTCTCTTTGCGTAACTTCAGAAAAATATTCAATTATTTCTGAAGCTGCTTTATAAATGTTCTAGCAGGGTAGATTTACGAATAGCGCCAGTGTGCACGTGATAATCACAAAAACGACTTAATCCAGACAAAATGGTAAGAGGATAATGTGTGGCTAAATGTGCAAGTACTTAAATCTTTAATGAGTGGGACAAAGTCGTGTTCAAGGAAACTAATTGTAAGTTCAAATGAGACCGGAATGACGAAAGACGGAGGGAAAGAGACTAAACGGGACTACCATTTAATTAGAATTATGACGATACGACGTGACCAAAGAATCTTAATCAGCTTCCCAATGTGGAAACTATATAAAGAAACAGTCGCGGGAAAAATCAGAATCGCACAACATATCGTGCTAATAATAACTTTTAAGATTATCCACTTTGATAAATAGACAATGGTTTATTGCACGAAGACAGCCGATGGCAGGAAGAGAAACGGCGAACCTAAATCCACAAAACTTTGCCATTATACACGCGATGCTCGTACAGCCAAAACTACTAACCGATATACAGAGATTCCGTTGATGTTGATGAGTCCTTTGACGAGACTCGCTTTGTAACTCCCACGCACGAATATACAAATCCCCGCGATAGATGAAGCCTCCTCGTTTCGCTCGTAACATTAAATGCCACCTGTAACAAAGAGGAAAATAAAATTCCACATTGTTAGCATGCCACATAACTCATATTCGTTTGCTTTCATAGCCTGTGTAAAATTATATGTTGCATAGCAAGTTGTGAAATACTTTCGTAGGCAAGAAGCGCACGTTCTTTTCAGAGATTCCTCTCTTATACATATATATATATATATATATATATATATATATATATAATAGAAATAATCGATAATTGCTGGAGAGAATAAAGATTTATTTTATTTCCTCCTTAAATTAAGTCTTTCTCTCGCTTCGCGTATTTTAGATTCCTCAGTATCCATTTTCGCACTGATGTAGTGCCGATGTCATTATTCAACATACACACGTTCGCACCCTCCATAAAATAAATTCGTAAGTGACATACCCTTTTTTACGCGTCACTTGCGCTCTAAGTTTGTTCGTGATCTTCCCATTCACGCCCGAGCGTGATATTTACGAGGCGTAAAAAAGGGAAAGTTGATAGACGAAAATGTTACAAAGATTCACGATCGTATATAACCACATATTATACTTGACTCGTAAATTTGACTACATTTTCCACTCCGTAGTCTCTGGGTAATATATTTATATAATATAATTTTTGTTCCATTTTATTTTTTTATCTTAAGACGTTTACTTTTTATTATGATTGCTCACTGAAAAAATAATTAAAATTAATAATATGCATTAACTTAATTGGTCAAGCTGCAACTTGTTATGTTCGGATCGCTATCGAAATATTATCAATTTAAAGGTTCTATCTGAAAAAGCCCGTGTGAGATCTATATATTTTTTGTATGACGAAATCCAATCGCGCTGCAAATATTACGGATTATTACTCATGGTAATGCAGAAAAATATAGCTTCAACGCGTCGTGCGTCATAGACATAATATCGTATAATTGTAACTCAATAACAGCTTTCTCTCGCAAGCGAATGAATCTTGTGATGTCAAAGTGAACGCTATATTGTCCCAGTTGCACATTCAGTCACCCGAATAATTCTGATCGTTATCAAGGCCGTAACATTTACGCGGACGCAGTTAGAGCAGGTTCGAAGCATTGACAATACCAGCGTTTTCGTACCGGTTAATCGAACACGTGCCTATGTATATCGAATAGCTTCACCCCTCATCCAGCAGTATCAATGCTGATATCGACCCGCGCCAGCGACAACGTTGACGTCCGCCTGGTCTGAACCGACTGTAATCGCAACGTGACTTAGCAATCTCACGTGTCTCCGAGCACATCGGGTCAGTTTGAAATCGCTTGTGATCGATCGTATGTCCCCTACTGGGAGATAGTCATGTTACTGCAACATCGAGTTACAGCAATGTGATCAATTCAGTCTAAATAATATCAAAATAAAAACGGTAGTTAAAAAAGTGTATTGAAAAAAATTCAAAAAACTACGGTATCATTGTTAACTTTTTTTTTAGGAAACATTGAAATCAGTACAATTTTAGTAAATCCATTTTTTCGATACTATACTATACTATACTATATTTTCGATACTATACTTCGATACTGAAATATATATATAACACCTTATGTTTCTCCCTATGAACAAAAGTGAATACCGCTGCGCAAATACTACTTATGATTTTGCTAGAGGCTTTAGAGATTAAAGTTTTGCAGAATTAAAGTTTTGCGGTGAGTATTGTTAAAGCCAACCGCGAGCCCTCTATCTCGGATGGACATTCGTGTGAAATAAACTCTAACTCGACGGTGGTTGTAACGAAGTGGTAACGCGCGGCTACCACTGGTCATATCGGCCGTTCGGTGGTTCACCGATAGACCGGATGAAACACGGCGTTCCATGAATTATAAAATCGCTATTTACAGCGAAAGATACAGACCGTGTCGGCTGCGGGAGTGGTCGCGCGCGAGTCGGAACGCGCCCCGGTGTAATATCGCATCCTGCCTCGCGCAAACGATAGCGCGGCGAAGGTTTATCCAAAATTATTGCCGCATACGCGCATTTCTTTCTCGCATTCAAACTGTTGTTACAAGTTGCATGAGATCGCGACCATAGGCTGTTCGTCACGACCATAACGATGCATCGTTGTGGTTCGCGATCGCCGGCAGAGTTGGCGACACGAACCATCACTTGCCCGCGTTTATCATGAGTAAAACTTTAAAAAAAAAAAAAAAAAAGAAATATTTGCGCGAATGAACACGTTACGTTTCATCGATCGGACTACGAGAATACAAGTAGCGTCGGTAAATTCTCGATTTATCAGTTCGTTGAGCACTTTAACGCAAGGGCGATGACGTTACAGAGTGCCTGTGGCATTATCCTGTACAGTAGCTTTTCTTTAAATTTATATGTCTGATAAGGATAAACGAATACGAGGGAGAGACAGCTCGACGAATTTCCACTGTAGCTAGCCATTCGATTAACTTTCACGTGTTAATCTTTGTTCTAGATGTTATTTTATTGTTAAACGATTCGCCTGCACGCTGGGAAATATTCATTTTGTTTTAGCAAGAGTTACAATTATAAAATAACTTCGCTTTTATAATCTTTGCACGATAATAATTAATGAGCCAATAAATATTTATCTCGACGCGCACACCACGCTTTGATTTTCAAATTATTTGAATCGGCATAGGCAAATAAGTAAATTTAAACAATAAATGAGATTATGTTCCAAAATTATTTTCATACGAATATATACTTTTGACGGTCACTGAACGTGACTTTGCATTTTACAGTCATTTAACCAAATAGTTCGAAAATTGGACATTTGTACAATTCTTTAAATGAAATGGAAACGCATTGGACAGAAAACATTTATACCGAGCGATTTCACATGCGATGATCAAACGATTTTAGCACACTCATGGAGAAAATGCGATACCTATATGCGCTTCTAAAACACGACAATAATTGGCGATATTTTCAGCAATTATAGCTGTGGATCCCTCTCTATTGATTAACGGATATGATTTTAATTGTATTTGCTGCTGTTAATTTGACTATAAAAAGCTACTGATTTCACATAAAATAAATGATTAATATAAAATTATAAGGTGTTGAATATATCCGTTTTCATACATTTATTTACAAGTTACCGCTAAAATGATTTTTGCGTGCAAATAAAATGTTTATCTCATTATCAAATTAACATAAAGCGTTATAAATTTATTAGCTGTAAGAATAATTAAATATATTCATATATGAATAAATTTAAATATAAATTTAAATACATATCTTTCATAAAAAGACTTTGTCATAACAAGTGAACAAAAACATGGCACCAAAAAAAAAACCTATTATAAGCATCCAATCGATCCATTCTTCATATTTTCTATAATATTCACCCTAAGCACGAACACTCCATGAAGCATAACTCTATTGTTAACGACAATGTAGTGGAAAGACCTTCGTCAATGGCTGAGAAAATTGCGTCCGCAGACTATGAGATTTTATCTCTGTAGGAAACTATGGTCCATCTCGATGACTTATCGAACAAAATATAGCATATTTCATAAAAACCAAGATATAGCATTTTTTCAATCTTACTTTTGCCATAAATTGTATGAAAATTATATAACTTTTATTATATTTTGCACGTTTTACTACATAAAATTAATTAATTTAATTTTTGCAAATAATTTTATTAAAATGAAACAAAATATTATGTTCTATATAAATGAAAAGAGCGTGTGCTATCTGAAAAAATTTTAGTATTTTATAATTCTACGGCTAAAAAATATCTGCATTTAAATATCTTTTACTGTATAAGTATTTGTATGTATGTGATCAACTGTTCACCTATCTAATAAGTATATTTAAAAAATTTACAAGACTTACATGAAGTATAAAAGATATATTATCATTTATTTCTACTTCAGAGAAAGAGAGAGAGAGAGAGAGAGAGAGCGCAACTTTCCCAAAATAGTATCGTAATATGTCACACGTTCAGTCGGTGGTTTCCTCGACAATGTCAATATCATATTGTACGTCCATAAAAGCGGACGAGATATTCGATATCGAACTACGTGCCGATCGCGACACTTAATTACTTCAGATCGGAAACGGCGTGTCCCGGAGCGAGGCACAAATGAAACCGTGACCCAATCAACGAAAACCGCAGGCGATTTATGAGAAATTAATCCGACCATCGCGTACGGAATGGAAAGCGGAAATATTGGGACTTTGCTTCGGCTTGGCTTTAAATAAATGAAACGTGAAGCACCCTCGCGCTATAAAAAGTTCGCGGCACGTTTTCCGTTGACGCGACAATGCAATTCGAAATAATATAATTAAACAAGGTCGCTGTACTACCGTTTGCGGGTGTCGCGTCGAATTGAACAATACCTTTCAAACTTTGTCTCGCATGTTTACTGATAGACAAGAATATTCCAAATGCTGTAATTTTCGTATAATTGCAGACTTGTATCGTCGCGATTGAATGCACCATCGAATAGCAAACGTGAATTTCATGTTTCTCTTACAATTAGTGTATATTTCATATATTTATTGGGAATAATAAAGACACACGTATGCCCATGATATGCATGGTGAATTAATCAATGCTGTGATAAAATATAACTCATTAATTTATGATAGTTATATATATATATATATATATATATATATATATATATATATATACATTTACAAATAGAAATATATAGTAAGTTGTTCTTTTCTCTAAAATAACGCAAACTATAAGGATCTTAATTAAATGTAATATGATTCTATTCCTGTATAAAGAAATTATATTGAAATTACATTGAAATTATATTATTTTAATGTTAAAATTCTTTTTTAAATTATTTTTTAAACTATTATAATTACGTTATTTTCATTATTGACATTGGCAAGTCTATATGTAAAAAATCTAACTCATTGTGCAAAATTTACATAAATATAAATACAACACGTAGCAAAGTAATTAGCTGTTATTGCATATTTACGTAGATTTCGTATAAAGTAACAATTAGCTGAATCTCGTATAAAATAAAGTGGATAGTCTAATAAGTCTCTTTCTATTTTCCTTCAGTCACTATACACGACTATATACTTTACCCCACCAATCTGTTACGAACTGCGGGCAGATTTATATTTGCATTTAAAATCTGAGCGATGCGCCACATCTGTCAAACGATGCATATTGAAATTTCGCGTGTGGTAGCAACACAGAGAGGAAAAGAGAGAGAATGGTGCGCTGCTCGACCGCCTGTCCGCCGGCGCCTCTTCCCAAGCGTTGTTTCTCCAAAATTTAACCTCTTTCGCCCCGTTGCTCCTATATCCCCCGAGCCACGCCTACGTGCCTATCTCTCTGGCTCTGCAAAATTCGTATACGTTCGGGCGACGATTCGCCGCTCACCGTCGCGGCTCTTCGTTGTTGGCAAGCCCGTCGAAACAGAGAATGAAAGAGAGAAGAGAGAGAGAGGGGAGAAGGAGAGAGGGAGGAAAGAGAGAGAGGAAGAGAGAGAGGGAGGGAGGGAGAGAGAGAGAACACCACCTACAAAAACAGCGCGAATCGTCGCTGGCAAATTTACCGTGCGTGTTTTATAGGCGCTATTTGCACACACAGCGGGACGCGGGAGGATTACAGTGCGAGGGTGGAAAAATGGGCGACGGGGTGACGGCAGTCGCAGCGAAAACACGGGGGCCAGCCGCTTGCGCGCCCGTTATCGTATAATCTACGTGTGTACGTAGATGTGCCGCGTACGTAAACGGCCGATAGCAAACTCGGCCGTTGAGACAGGACGATCGCATCAACTCGCGAGGCAGTATCGAATCTGTTGTCATTTTTCTTTTTTTTTTCGTTATTTTTTTTTTAATTTTTTTATTTTATTCTTTGATATATTTCGCGTGAAATACGAAAATCGTGTGGAATTTTTAATCAACCCGGGCGGAACGAAGATCGAGCCCGAAGAGATCGACGGAAAAAATTGAATTCGTCCATTGATTGCGAATTGACGTGCGCGCTAACGTACCGAGTACTTGCCGCGCGAATAAGCCCGCCGCCGCTCGATTCGCAGCGCTGCAAAGCCCATCTGAAATTGAAAGGATTTCCGCGCGACGAAGCCACGCTTCCCCGCATGCACGGAATTCGTAACACGCGGAAGAGCCCGGTGTTTGTACACGATCTCGCGCTGGTGTCGAGGAAATTACGAATTCGGACATTATACGTTGTGCAATCCAAGCTGCGGCGATATTCTCCGGAATGTAGATTTGATGCTATTTTAAGTAATCCGGGGAAATGGGTTTGATACGACGCTTCCGTTTGTTCGTTTTTGCGCGAATGATTAGACGAAAACAGCACGTGATGCTATTCTTATATGATAATCTTAGAGAGTATGGTTTTTCTGGGAAAGTTTCGACCATTTCCCAGTTCGCAACGGTAACTTTATATGTTCAGCGATGCATACACATGCACATACAATGCAAATGCTCACCTGATGATGAGCTGGTGTACTCTGGACCACTGACCTCGCAACCTCAAAATCCTGAGCGTACCAATAAGCGATGGTTTGTGCGACGGGAAGATCTCCATCGCTTTGAAATAGTAGTGGAGCGAGGGCAACCATTTGCCTGAAAGAGACACGAAGCAAGTTTGCCGCGAGTGTAAATTTAGGATCGCGATCATGCGGACTGCTTCGTAACTGGTAACGCCGACGAGTTTGTTCTATTTTCACCGACAAGTAGTGCTTCTCCTATCCGATATTTGAAGATCTACTTGCTATTCTGAGTTTATTTCATTTAGCGGCAACTCACCATTCTTGTACAACCAGTAAGCATACTCAGCGAGAGCGTCCGGGTTTCGTGGCTGAAGGTGAATTACGTGCCTCAGGAGCTCGCCTGTTGCAGGACCGGTAGCGATTCTCGCTAGAACTCTAAATGCCGGCGCATATGTCGGATCCAACGACACGCATCTTCTTAGCATCTCGATGCACTGTTCAGTTCGATTTGTTCTTCTAAAAGCAAAAGTTTACAAACGTGAAATATTTTATATATAGACATCACAAAAATTAGTATATGTTGTAATATAGGCAACTTTCAATACACAAATTACATATTTAACCAATTTGATTCTTTTTTAATGGATTTATAATTGTTTCCTATACATATAGAACCAAATAAGTGATATCTTTGTACAGATTGCACCGCCATTTCTAGTGTATTAGACACATGAACGGTAGTCAGAACATGGAACATAATAAACGAGTGAAGTGATGTAACACAATTGGAAGATTATCATTTATTATTCTTAACTAGTAACGAGCAATTGAATTCTAATTAGCGTCAATTATAAATTCCATACATATTGGTCAAGTAATATTATTTAATCATCACTCAATAGCGATTCCGTATGGCCAATATGTTTCACTCATATCATGGATATTTAATTCTTGCTTGGATTGCTTTATCGTTCGATGAAAATGCTAGATATTTTAAAGTAGGTTGGTAGGCTGAAAAAGGCCCAGCGTTGAAAAGACCTAGCGGACAAGGTTCCGCGTTCCCGTACAAATTGAACGGCAATTTCGCGAACGCGTCCGGTTGAATTATAGTCGTGCGCTTTCATGTAATCGACTTTACGCCCGACAAAAGACTCGGTAATTGTCAGAGAATGGCGACGCCAATAATGCCGATCGACAATGCCGTTTTTACTGTTTACGCCCATAGCTTGAGCGATGCTTTTTACCAATATCGCTCTATATCGACGTTTTAATCTGACGGGAAGGAAAAATATTAATCGTTGATAGAGCATTTCTGTGAACTCACATCCGTCTAGATAAATATACGTAGGATATATCTTAAGTTAACTCAAAATATTTCAAAAGCAAGTTCTTTTACTTTATCTTATATATTATACCCAATGCCATTATATTTGCTAATCTTTGCAACGTGCAAAAGGTTTTGAAATAAAAAAGTAAATCTTTACAAAAATAAGTGCTCGTGCGCACAATAAAGCTATATTTTTAAAATACATAATTTCATGTATGTTTATATTACATTGTATTTTAGCTCTTTTGTTTCTAATTCTTTTCAGTTTTTTTTCCTTCTTTTGATATGCGTTATCGGATCGCTAGACAAAAAGAGTTAGAAACTATTGTTCTATATTGTTGCGCCCGAACTGAGACTAGATCCGGACTGAAGAAGTCGCGTAGCGCACTCCCTAGCAACGGACGGCTATTCATCAACAAGTGCGAAAGAGATTTGTCTCCGAGCTTTGAAATCGAACGGATGTGTCGTGTAGATTCTGTAAAGCTACTGAATAAACGAGTTCTTTCTTAAAAACGTATTCTCCATGTTTAACGCGAGTTCGGAAGTGCGCGAACGCGGCGCGAGTGTGCGAGTGCGCGGAAGTGAGACATCTGGCGCAACAATATAATATCACGTTAACGATATTTGAGAAATAAAAATAAAGAAATAAAGCGAAATCTCCCGGACATTTTCAAGAGTAATATAAATTTTTATGTATTTGTCTGCATTTTCTTATAAATAACATGAATAACATGAATAATACATTCGCGATGATAATGCACATCTCTGTAATCAAAACGGAAACGGAACAAAGACGTGCGCCTCATGGTCTACGCGCACATACAGTCACTCTGTCTCAAAGAGAGTCACCTTATTATAGCGCACCTCGTATGTGCACGATTTCTCATGCGTAACATATGTGTATACCTACATGCAGCGTCACATTCTACATATTTGAGCTATTGTGTAATTCATTCAATGTGCAAATACATTAATGTATATACATTATGTAAAACCAATTACATAACATAAATACGCGCGCGTTACGTTGTATCAAAATTATAATAAAAACGGACTAAGCTAAAACGTATTGTTATTTCTCATATGTAATAATAATATTATATTACACAAATGTTACGTTAATATGCTATGTTTATATAAGATTTGCGTCGAAAACCGTCGTATTAACTAGCTGATGATTATGACAAAATATTGAATTAACTTAAATATTGAAGTATATATTATAAAGGATAAGATAAGTCTCTTTATCAAAAGTTTTTTTTTTGTTATATATAATATTTCTGACAAAAAGAGATCCCTTGATAGAAAAAAAAAACAATTTACGTTTTCATGATTTTTGTTGTTTATGTGACCAAAGATAAAAAAGAAAGATATTTAAAAAAATATACAATATATGTAAATAAAAGCTAACCCATGATTTAATGGGGAATCCATTATTTAATTAGTCGTTGCATAAATATTTCATCGGATATGTGCAGGCTTCAAATAAAATTCCTCAACAGAAAGAGGAAGAGAAATAAATGAGATCGCTTGTTTTCACGATTTACGCACAATAAACGGAAAATTGTTGCATGCACGCATCGGCTGGCTGCGTATGTCCCATTTCAGCCCTTAATTAAATTTTAATTTATCAAGTAGGAAGACGTTAATTAAACTTTAATTTTAACCATGCCACCAGAATTACAGCTCATGCTAAATTTACTGTCGGAAACGCGGCTCGCGCTGGGTCGATAACTCGTTGATATAACGGTGAACTAGGAGATAGAGAGGTGCTTTTATTGCGTAAAAACGACCAACGGTTCCTAATAATTAATTGAGGATAATGCAATTCAATGAGTTTTTCGACGGCTAGACCAATTGATTAATCATATTAGTAATTGATAATCCGCAATGTTACTCGAGATGTTACTCCATCTCGGAGAGAACATGTTTATCATTCACTGACCTGTACAATCGTCCGAGATTATAATGAGCATTTACGTGACCAGGTTGAGCGTTAATAGCTGCTAGAAAATGATATTCCGCTTGATCATCTATCGTGAGGGTTCCAAGATTATTATGCGCACTGGCGTACCCTGGCCAGAGCCTAGAACAAACAAAGTTACACAATCGATTAGAGAAAATGCCATTTACAAAGTTATTCTTTTATAATATTTAATCCCCGATTATACATTTTCACATTATATCATTAATCCTCATAAAATATCATGTGGCCGAAAATAATAACGATTTATATTTCTTGAAAATAATTTTACTTTTGCAAAAATCTGACTACATCTTTAATTTACTTACTTCATCATATCGTGAGTAACAATTATCATAATATTAATTGTTACTCCGTTATTTCAAACATTACTGAAGATTTTACGGCAGCCATGCAAACCGGTCGCGGTGTGGAATTACTTAAATGAATCATAGATCACGAACAATTGGAGAATCAAGGGAGAAGAATGGTAGAAGAGAAGAGTGAGCTGGCTAAAAAAAAACAGAACGTGAAAGAAAACAAAAGAATAAATTGAACAGACCGCGCGACGGAGGCTCTACAAGCGAGATAATGGATCGGAATTACCCCTGGCCGAATCCATTAGCCTTTGATGGCGTTCGTCATTCTAATGGAATAGTATTTCCGGCTACGAATCGTCACCGAATGCATTTTTAAAATGTTTGCTAGAAATACTATCCGGCAGATAATTAGTCAACATTCTCGTTTAATAGCTACAATTATTAAAGATCTTGTTAATTTATATTATAATAAATTTCAATCAAGGTGCTTTTAGCTCTTTCAATTACCTAAAATTGGAAAAAATTAAAAAAAACATCTCTACAGAAAAATACTATAGTACGTTTAAATATACAGATTCTTGCTCTCATTGTCAGATTGGTTTCCAATATTTGTCGTTAAAACATATAACTTCGATTTTTAAATATTCTCATATGTATATATAGATAAATATGTATCACGATCAAAAAGTACTCTTTTAAGATATTCTAATAGCGAGACATTAAATGAAATTGATCGGATCGACTAGAGAGAACTAGAAATTGGATATATTACATATTGCGCGCGACTTTGGCTCAACATCAAGATGTAACTGTATCGGAAAATATTAGAGGAGGAAGATATCTACCAAGCAAGATGTAAGGTTGGATGTTTCGTAGCGGTATAACGGACCGGCAGGGGGTTACTTCTGAGAGCTCAGTAAGGGACCGTTAAGGGCGAAGAAAAATACGGAGATAGGATTCGTGTAAGAGTTACACAGCGGAATGAGAAAAGCGGATAAAAATCCAACGGAGGAAATCCAACGCTAGTCTGATAACATGATAAAAAAAGATAATTCGGTCAATTTTATATACATATATATATTTTTGGCGAAAGTCTATTTTTATATGTTAATTTTTGGTCAATTTGGTGATGTAATTGCTCTTGAATGATACTTTACAAAATTCGATAAGATACATTCAATAGGAAATTGCGTGAAACATAATTTTGCTATTTCTCGAAATTCTTCATCGAGATACAGTATCGATGAGATGGAAATTTTTCGTCGTGAGCTACGACGCGATCTTGGTTGTAGTTATCAAATTTTCCAGAATTCCTTCCGCCTTAAGATGCAGATATGCCTTGTACCTTGGCTTCTCTGCTTCCAGGAAAGAGGATTGCGTAGAAGGTATGCGTTGCTTCCGTCGAGGATAAGTCACAATCCGTGAAAATACTAAGAGTGTATCTGGGGAGTGAGAATACAAGGCATTGGAGAACGACGGGGAAGTCTATCCGAGTAGTAGGGAACTTGCATGCTTTCCTCCAAGAAAATTCGGAGGATCGCGACGGATTCAGAAGTTGCTAGAACTCGGCACGGCTCGGTGAAAAGCATTGTCCTGTCGAATACGACGAGAATTCTTTCGTGAAGAATTGACGGAAGTTGCCGTTTAGCCAAAGTGAATATCCCGTGAAAAGCGTCGGTGCGTGATCTAACTTGTTTGGAAGACGTTTTAATAGGATCAATTAGGAAGTGAGAAGAGCGAAGTATCCGTAACGAAAAAAATCACTCCCAAGGAGATGATCTGCATGTTCTTCAAGCGCAAGTCCCGAATGACACGGTTGCGAAGAACCGCAGTCATTAATCTGCGAGAGAACTATTCTTCACGCTCGATAACTTTCTTTTAAATTTCAAATTTTGTAAAAATATCTCCATATTTTCTCTTGACTTAATTTTCTATTCCAGTTGAAATATATGTCGAATTTTTCTTTATTTCTATGGATAACAAATGCTTTAAAATTAGCTAGAAAACTTTTAATCTACATCTCCATTTACATTGTTTGTATCTCCAATTACGTATCAATTTTACTATTTTAATTATCTGTCAAAAAATGAGAGAAAGAAATTATTATCATGCTCTTTCCGGTCCATCTCTGAAGTGACATTCGAGATGCGACGCACGTTTCTGAAGATAAACTTAACTCGAGATCGAGTTAAGAGAAAATCAATCAGCTGTTTTGCAAACTTCGTTAAAAGTTTTCGCGTGTGTGCGAGAATGCGAGCATATGTCACTGGATGTGTTTCCTTGAAAATCATGGCTCGAAGAAAGTTGAAGAGAACATACTTTGCGTAGCGGGTTGCTTTACAAATCTTTTTGAAGTGCATGTGATTAAATTGTCACGTCTTTCATGCTTGGCAGGCAAAGCGTTTGATAATCCCGGATTTTCATATCTCATAATCTACATAGGCTATATCAACTCGCTTCGTTGCCCGGTCTCGACACAACATGCTCACTATCCCGTGCAAAACAACCTCGGGCTAGTCGCCTCCATAAAGCTGTACAAAGTTTTAATGAAGGCCATTTTGTCGAATGGCTTAGCTGCGCAACAATTTTTCATTTGTGTCGCACACATAAAAACGTACGCTTCTGGCAATCTATCCGGAAGATATGATCAGTACAAAACTTATAAAAAAATAAAAATTTAATATAAACCTTGTATTACAAGTGACTTGTCCGGGATAAAAAAATGTGGAATAAATTACTAGTAAAATAAGTAAGGTACAAATGAAATTGTCATATATATACATGTACATAAGTATCATATAAAATGTTGCTTTTTATAATACCATAAAAAGATTAAGTACTTTTATTTTTCAACAAGCTATATCAGCACGCTACTAAACAACTTGCATAATGGATAGCAAGTTATTAATCACTAATTTATTGGACCATAATTGTTGGATGATAGCAGAATCGTGAAATTAAAATGTTAAAATAATTAATCGGAAAATAATTGGCCACCAAGGACTTCTTTTCTTCCTTCCAACTCGAGATTCTCTCATGCGACGCATGGAATATGTGCTGTCGAAAACTAGTGTAAAAGATGGAACGCCGTACAGTGGTCTCCGGAGAGGGACGCAGAGAAACCTCGATATTTACACGTCAGGGGTTGCCATCCCCGTAAAGTACCCAGCGGGGTGCCGCGTGCCAGGAGTGTCTCTTTATTGGATAATAAATAACCTGTTTCATTTATAAGAAGGAGATAAAGTGTGGTAGACTATGTTCCCCAGATAGATCCTTCCTCGCCGACTGCCTTCCCATACAGCATCATTTCCCGGAAGTTGAAATTGCCAAGTATACGAACTGTACAGAGAGTACTGTCTAACATTTATTTAAGGTATTCCTTTCATGGAGGAGCGTATTTTGTAGGCGCTTAAGCAGGGCCTCAGCAAACTCTTGTATATTGCATTAAATTTATATAAAATCAAGTTATAATTGATTATTATGTTTAATTATAAAAAAAAAGTGAAAATATTATGTGTATTTAGAAATTTTTTATTTTTCGGTAAATTTTACTGTCAGAACAATATGGCAACGCTGCGCTTTTCAGAACGCCGATTGTAAAATGTGAAGTTGATAACAAAAGTGTCAATGTAAGTGTCAATTTAATTAATCAAAGAATATTGTGACATTTTCTTTTTATCAAAGAGAGATTTTATAATAATAATGAGTGATAAGAAACAAAGTGAGGAGTAATGTGGGCAAAACTAAGGGACAATTTGTGAAAATAAAAGTTGATAATAAACCGTACGTGATGAACTGAAGTGTGACATGAGCGCACAGCTTGCAGCGTTGCCAAATAATTCCTTGAAAGTCGCCATTAAAAATATTCATCTATAAACCACATTTCAAGTCAACTTTTAACATAAATATTTTGTTTAAATATTCGGTGACTCTGTATTTTTATCGGCACTATCGAAAGTATAGAGTTTAGCGAATATGTAGCGCAGTTAATATTTAATATCTTAAATCTTAAGATAAACAAATTATTACATTGAAATGTAGAAAATAGACTTTTTCGATAACGTCACATATAAAATATCGAATTTTCAAAGTCATAATTCTTCTTTATATGTTCGGTAATGTGGTTTAATTTTTTTCTGGCGTAAAGATATGCATTTTAACTCTCTCGTACCAAAAAATCAGTTAATTCTTTTTGGTGTCATAAAAGGAATACCTTAATACGTCTGACATGACGGAGTTCTTTTTGCTACCAAAAAAGTATACGATAAAAGAGAGAAGACAAATGTATGAAATATCAATATCTTCGTAAACAAAAGATAAACTTTTCATAAATTTGCTACAATTTCGCAAACTTAATTATCACCCGATAAAAATAATTACAGAAATAATAAAGTTTAATTTTAACGTTGCTACAGAAAAACAATTAAAAATTAATTTATTTTAGGAGAAAATATAATTCAATATTTTCTATATGCTTATGTACATACAAGGCAATTATATTTAAATTTCGTTAGGTGAAAAAGTAGGTATTCTCCGACATAGACTCATGTAATTATTTCTTTTAATAACAAATAAATAACAAATTAAAATGCTTATTAAAAGGGAAAAAAAAAATCTACAACCTCTGTAATATTACAAAACATTAATTTAAAATAGTTTTATAACATTTTCACTCAAAAGCGAAACAAACAGAGGAACGGTGATTTCAGGCGCATCGGCGCCATAAATTAAATTTAGATTCGAATACCGTGCTCAACGAAGTCGTCGCATCGCAATTTACCGTTGGTATTTCCCGTAAAAGAA